GGCACGGACCCGTGATGGGCACACAGAGCCTGGGTCTGCCCGGCCAGCTGCACCCTGCCCAGCGCCCCGCACCTCCTTGGGGCTGCTTCCCTGCCAGCTGGGCGCTGCTGCTGCTGCCTTCAGTGCCAGCTGTCACCTCTTCCAGATCTGCACTGCATTGGTGTGTGGCTCTGAGCTCCATGTAACCTGTCAGCAGCTGCTCACAGCTCAGCACACTGAACAATCCTTTTCCAGCTCAGGCACACAGAACAATCCTTTTCCAGCCCAGAATCAAGGACACCACTGCAGCTTCAGCCCAAAAAGTGTAAAACAACAGAGATTGAGGAGAGCAAACTGGGAGGGTGGGACTGTACAACCTGGAGCTGGAATTGGACAATGAACCCAAATAATATATTGAAATGGACCAAAAAATAATAGATAATAGACAATAGATAGTAGATGATAATAGATAATAGATAGAAATGGACCAAAACTTATAAAAGTGTGAAAACTCGTGACATGCTATCCATCCTGGGTGGAGCCACAGCGGGGCTCTGGTGCTGCCCAAGGTGCATCCTTTGAAGGCCTTTTAATAAATCCCTGCTTTATTCCTTTAACTCTGTCCAGCCTCTGCTCCAGGGAGCCTCTCCAGGCATCACTGTGAGCAAAATTCTCACTAATTGTTGTTGAGTGTAGTGGTAAGAAACCTGTTCAGCATTAAAATTGCCTGTTCTTCATGTAAAAATGCACCTTTCTGCATGTCCAGGCTTTGTTGGAAACCCTCCCCTGTCCCAGGGACAGGAGCAGGTCTGCTCGCTTGTTGAAAAAGGAGTTAATGGGGAAAGAAAGCACAGAGACCCCACCCACTGCATTGGCCATTGCATAAAAAACACATTTAACAGAGCTGGGTAGAAAATGGGGAAACTGAATGGAGTATTTTGAGAGACATCAAAATGGCTTGGGCTCAGCTTCCTTTGTGCAACAGAAATTATGCACTTCTCCATAGAAGTTTGAAAGTAAAACTTTTCAAAAAGAAAAAAATAGTCTCAAGAGAAGCGGAGAACATAAAGTAATTTAAAAAATGTATCTGTATTGATGTTCTTTCACTTACAGTCAATAGTGTGTGTTTATCCAAGATCTGTGCTGAACTTTCACCAGGTCATCTCCTGTTGCCAGAGGCAACGGCTCTCCAAGTGCAGAGCTTTGTAAACGATCCATTATTCATAGGAAAATGACAAAGCTCGAGGCAAAAGGTTACCTGAGGACACTTAAAAACAGCTTCCACGTCAATCACAGGCCGGGTTGTGTGTTATTCCATGGAATCACAGGTTTAATTGTATGCTATTCCATGGAATCACTGGTTAAATTGTGTGCTATTCCATGGAATCACAGGTTTAATTGTGTGTTATTCCATGTGAATCACACTTTATATTTTGTGTTATTCAATGAATAACACACAATATAAAGTAGAAAAATCCCATGTTACATTGTGTGTTTTTCCATGTGAATCCCGTGTTGCATTGTGTGTTTTTCCATGCAAATCCCATTACATTGTGTGTTTTTCCATGTGAATCCCGTGTTGCATTGTATGTTTTTCCATGTGAATCCTGTGTTGCATTGTGTGTTTTTCCACGTGAATCCCATGTTACATTGTGTGTTTTTCCATGCGAATCCCGTGTTGCATTGTGTGTTTTTCCATGTGAATCCTGTGTTGCATTGTGTGTTTTTCCATGTGAATCCCATGTTACATTGTGTGTTTTTCCATGCGAATCCCGTGTTGCACTGTGTGTTACCCGGTGTGAGGAGGGTGATCAGCATCACCCAGGCTGGATCACTCAGCTGTCCTGCAAAGAGGAGTTGTCAGGTCGCTCTCACTGCTTACAAATTCAATGGGAACAGGAGAAGGTAGATGGCCTCCCCTGTTTCCCTAAGGCAGCAGAGGGGCTCTGGTGCCCAGGCAGAGATGAGAAGAGGTTTCCCTGCGGCTGCAGGCAGCAGGCTCTGGCAGAGGAGGCTGCTGAGCTCCAGGGGCAGCAGGGCAGGGCCAGCCAGGTGACATCCCTGTGGCCCCACAGCCTGGCCCTGCCGCTGTGTGCAGGAGCGACGGGGGAGCCTGGAGAGAGATCTCTGCAGCCAGGGACCCCAGAGAGCCCAAAAGAGCAGGAATTCCCATTGCAATACCATAAATCTTCCTCTGTGCTGAATATTCTCATTTTCACTAACCAGTCTAGAACAAGACACCAATCCTATATCATTTGCATACAGCCTATAAGAATCATTACCATACTGTGGTACATTTTAAACCCTAAAAACTACTCCTATAAATCCTATAGGTAAATATATATCCTGTAGGTAAATCCCATAGCATTTGCATACAGCCTGTAAGAATCATGCCATTACCATGTTGTGTTACATTTTAAACCCTAAAAACGATTCTTTGGACCCCTTCTGCCCAGGCAGTCGGGTGTGCTGCCCCTTGGAGCTGTCTGTGAGCAGAGGGTGTTGTTTTTGATGGAACAAAAGGGGATCACCTCCAGCCAGCCGTGTCATTGTTCTCCAGTTGTTCAGTAACCAAGGCTCGGTATCTCAGAGCTTGCTTTCATTCCAATCTCACTTACAGTTTCCATAGTCTCAAAATCTTTTGCCAGGCAATCATATATTTATAAGGTTTTCCTGTTTCATCTCCCCCAGCTCCTGTGTGCCTGGGCTACCTGAGCAGGGCTGGGGCTGCAGCTCTGCCCTCAGGGGATATTAAAGGCACTAATGTAGAATTCCCAAGTCATTTCCTGATAGAAAGAAGGATTCAGTAGAAATTTCCTAAATACCAACAGCAACATCTCCTCGAGGACTGGATTTTCAAAGCAACAATTAATTTAAAAGGAAAGGTAATTAGGTATTGGACTGTCCTTTAGGCAGAAGTGAAGGTCCAGCCTGTATCACTGCGATTGATTTAATGAAAAATGAAAATCAGCTAAAGATCTTTCAGGTACTCAGTCAAATTCTCCAAGCTAATTTATACTTATTCTTATGCTAATGGAAAAACCTTTTTAAAAGCTTCAAAAGGTGCCAAACTGAAATCTCCCCAGTAACCCCTGAGTAAAGCCACAGCAGCCACAGCCAGGTCTGCACCCAGGGCGTTTTAGGGCCTTCCTCTCTGAGCCTTTTCTCAAAACATATTGATTTTTGTGGGACTTGGAATTCAGGGCCTGCAGCACTTGTGTCTTAACATCAGGAGTGCTGGGACAACACTGATCCTCAGTGAGAATGATAACACTGATAACAGTGAAGTCGTGCTGGAGCCAGCGGCAGGATTTCTAATTACTGAATCAGCCCTCTCTCCAGAGTGACGGGGGAGCGCAGCAAGTTCTTCAGACCAGAAGTGTAATTATTTTTATTATGTGTGAGGAAGAAAGAACACGAGAGGGAACACAGGGACGGCTTTCAAAGCAAAGCAAATGATGGAAATGAGATCAGCTTATGACCAGCTGCTTTGCCTTAATTGGTGATGTTTGAATGGATCAAGAAAGGAAATAAACCTAGGCAGGATGGATTACAGCATAAAAAGTTCACTTTAAACCTACAGTAATGTCACAATCAGATATAGAAGCCTTAAGATTTATTATTCATCAGTTAAGAGGCTCATTTAAATGGTCCTTCTAGATGATTTAGGTAGTCCATATGGAATCAGCAATTGCAATAAATAAAATGGAGAGTCTAATTGGAATGCAAGTATGGACAGATTTAATTCTCCTGAAACATTTAAATTAGATCTGGTGCTCTTCCTTTTTCCTTGATAGAGTGTTCTTCAGACTTCATTAACAAATAGTTGTCAGTCAGGAAAATAAAGGCCATTTTAAGCATTATAGATTTAAAAAGACTTCATAGACAAAATTCCTGTGGCTTTATAGGATTTTTCTCTGGTATTTAAAGGAAAAGAAACAGACATTTCTAGAGGCTGCTGTGTGTTCTTATGAGCTGACCTCTTGTATATTTTCTTTTCAACTCTGTTTATTTTCCAAAGGGGAACTATAAAAGGAAAGGTGTTTTACTGGGGATTTTTTGTTTGTTTGTTTTCTTTTTGGTAGGTTTCCAGTTAACAGGCTTTAAGCCAGTCTGCAGATCTGATTCCTCCTCATTCTGCTGCTCAGCCCAGGGCCCTCAGTGTAATTGCCTTGGACCAAGGAGAGAGCCAGGTTTAACCAGTTACTTTTTGGAGGCAAACTTAGGCCAGGGTTTGAATGCAGCCTTTTTTTTTGTGCTCCTGTGTTCCCATCCTGCAGGAGCAGAAATCTCTGCAGGAGTGAGCAGGAGCTCCCAGATACTCAGGAGGAATGTGCACCCTGCACTCTGAATCTCAAAGCAACAATTAATTTGGTTTTTTTGGCTTGCGGAGGCATGACTGGATGATGCTTGTGTTTCTCTTCTGGTCCAGCTGTGGCTCTGCATACGGAGAACCAGCTGAATTGACACAGAATATTTGTCTCGGAACCTTTTTAAAGGCTCCTCTGCAGAAGGCACCAGAGCTCACTGCTGAAGTTGTTGGTGGGGCACATTTCTGACACAAAGATCTGTTCTTCCCTCTTCTGTTGGATATTCAGGGTCTCTGCTGGGCAGGGGGTGTGTGCGTGGAGTTATCAGCTATCAGTTAATATTTTTAATTCTTGCAACCAGCCCTTTGGCAGCAAGGCTGGGGGAGTAGAGCAGACTTCACAGCAGAGTGAGACCACCTGGGGCCAGGGATGTGCCTGGGCCCCTGTGCAGCCCCAGCCACCACACACCTCTCCCTGCTGGGTGTTAAGGACTCAGGGGAAACTTCATGTGCCTTATTTTCCAAGTGAAAAAAACAATACAGGCCCACGCCTTCCAGCATCTTGACATTCCTGGAGTTCCTGGCAATGCGTGGTTATTATCCTGTGCTGGTTATTGTCCTGAATGGATGCAGAACAAGGGCTGCACTGCCCCAGAACCTTCCTGCACGTTCCCTACCTAGTGCCGGTGATTTGAAAACAAAGCCTGGAGAATGCAGGAGCTCTGAGCCCAACCCGAGGCTTCCCTTGAATGAATAATCACAGTTGGCCCAATTATCTATAGCTTGGCACTGGCAGGCTGAGATGGCAAACACATTAACAGCAAACAGAAGGAGCTAAATTGGCTAAAGGCTCCTGAACGGGGAGGACTTCTCTGTTGTAGATGTGAGAAAGGTTCCAAGAATAAAAAATGTGCCCTTTCCCAGCCTGGGGATTGCTCTAAGTGGGGCTGGTTGTAATTAATCTTTAGTGTGGTGAGTTGTATATTTCCCTGCTGTCAATGTGCTGAAGCTGGCCTGCTGTAAATTACACTGATGCAGAGAAAATTAATCATATTGCACTAATGAGCATACCAGAAAACCCTCTGATGGTGTTCTTGGAGCTTTTTCTCCTCTGCAGTGAACACAAAGAGGTTCCTCCGATAATTCCTGGTGACCTGCAGTGGGAATCTTGAAATTCAGTAGCAAAACTGGCTGGCCAGAATTCTGGCAGAACAGGAGGGGAAATGCTGAACCTACAGATATTCAGGGGCTGAAAAATCAGAGCACAGGCTCATTATGTTAATGAGAGGCAGAATGCACCTGCACATCTGAATGCGTCAGCAGCAGCTCCCGTTCCGCTGCAGCTCCTGCTCTGCTGCAGCTCCCGTTCTGCTGCAGCTCCTGCTGTGCTGCAGCTCCTGTTCCACTGCAGCTCCTGCTCCACTGCAGCTCCTGCTGCATTGCAGCTCCTGCTCTGTTGCAGCTCCTGCTGCACTGCAGCTCCTGTTCCACTGCAGCTCCTGCTCCGCTGCAGCTCCTGCTGTGCTGCAGGTCACGTCCAGCTCCATTTGCAATTGCTGCTTTGGGAGCATGCCAGCAGTAAAGGGACAATGCACCCGTGCTTGTGCCCAGCTTTGTCAGCCTCTCCTGCAGCCTGGAGACGCTGTTCTCATCTCACCTCCATCTCTCACCCGAGTCAGGAGGAGAGAACAGCGTTCAGCCTCCTGTGAGGCTGCTCAATCTGCAGTGTAACCTCTCTCTCCTTTCTTCTAAACACTTTAAAACACAGTAAAAATACTCCCAGAAGGATTTGTGGAGGTTTTTGCTTTTGCACAGTCTGAGTTTCCATGTTTTAGAAACTGCAGGGATGGCCCTGGATCACACGAATGTGGTTTAGTGCTGCTGTCAGTGAGGAACTCCTTGGAAATACAAGGCAGGTGCTCCTGGCACTTCCTGCTGCCAAAAGCCAAACAACCTCATTGCAAAAGGAATATCCTGCCAACTACATCATTAGCATTCCAGTCTTTTTTAGAACACAAATGTATGACTTGCTTCTGCTTTGCAGATTATGGCAGAGTCCCCAGAAGCAGTGCAGCTCCAGCAGCACTCTGCAGTGCTGGGGTGTTGCACAGAGTGTCTCACGGCTTCCCCAGGGAAGGACAGGGCTCAGGACAAAGCTGGGCTCTTTTCACTGGGGGAAGCCTTACCCTGGAGTTCTGTGAATGAAGATGCCTTCACTTGCTGCCTTTCACGTCCGTAATGTTTGTCACATGCTGCTGGCTTGGGCAGTTCAGCAGGGTGTGGAGCTGGCAGGCTGAGCTGCCTCCCTGCTCTGCAGTGCACCCACCAAGCCTTCTTCTGGGATGGTTTGTGACAGCAAAGCTCCTTCTGCTGAACCTGCCCTTCTGCTGTGTGCGGGCAGAGCTTCAATTCAGTTCCCACTCCTGATCCCCGTGTGTGCTCTGCCCACTGCCAGGTCATGAGAGCCCTTCTGGAAGTCGCTGTGTGATCTCAGAGTTTATCCGACCCCTTCAGATCTCTGGGGACAAACCCGAACAGCTGTCTGTCAAACCCACATTCCTGTCCAAGTCCAGAGCTGGTACCCCAAGATGCAGATTTGATTCAGACGTGAGTATTTTTGAACTTTTTACTGAAAAAGGGATTTGGGGCTGAGGCTCCTCAGCTCCAGCAGGAATTCCAGGTTGATCCACCTGCTTTTAAAAAGTCAAGGTGCCATTATAAGTTGATTTTTAATATTTAGGACAAATATTCATTATAAAAACTGCATAGAACAGATCCTGGAAACCCTGTAGAAGGGTATGAGTTTCTATTAAATACCCTGGTTTATATGGGCAGATAGCCATGAGGAAATGATCCTCAGATTTTACCCCTCATTTCAGGAAATCCCTTTCCCAATCCTTACAGGAGTAAATAAATTGCAAGTGTGTGCATATTTTCTATCTATGTTATATTAATTGATACGAAAATGTGAAAGTTGATGGAATCAAAATGTTTCCAAATGGATCACAAGTCTAATGACATTCAACAAAATACTGGATTCTTGTATAGTGAGAATTCCATGGGCATATCTGAGGATTATCCAGAGGAAATATTTGTGTATATTTGTGTAGCAGCATTATTGAAAGGTGGAAACATTCACTGCTCTTTGAAGAGGCCACAGAAAAAGCAGCTTAGCAAGGAGACTTAGGTAAGCAGAACTAACAGCAAGGAACGGGAGAAGCAAACGTCAAATTTAATTCCCCTTTTCTGTTAGTTTTGGGCTCTCTCTCACTGAGCATGCCAAGCCCTCTTTTGCAGAACTGAACGTTTTGTGCCTTCCAGAGTGTAATTACGTGACACACTCTTACATTTTGCAGGCTCACAGAAGTTCAGCTCCATTCCTCCTTAGAGACACCCAGACCCCAAAGGAGGGTGCATGAATAAAATCTAAAAAATGAAACATAACATGGGGTAGTCTGAAATCAATCAATCAATCAATCAATCAATCAATCAGTCAATCAGTGATACTCTGCCAGAGCAGGGTGTGCTGGCCAAACCACCCTCAGGAGCCAATTCAGAGGAAAAGGGACTTCACTGGAATTTTCCTGGTGTGCTCTTGGCAGGGACTGGTTTAGCCCTGGCAGTTCAGTGTTATCTCTGTCTAGGTTGTAAAATTTTGCTCAGATTTTAGACAGTTTATTTTATTTGATCCCACTGTTAACCCAGCATTTCTACATTAATTAAAATTCTCAAGCTCAGGCAAAAAGTTGGTCATTTTTTTCTGAAGTGGCCCACAGCAAACTGTACAATGAGGGAAGTTCATCCCTGACTTTAAAACCTCTACTAGCTGAAAGCACAGCTGAAATTTCTGTTTTACCAGGGAGAGACCTCGTGCAGAGCTAGAATGGACAGAGTCTGTGTTGATTCAACACCACAATTAAACCTCCAGGTTTTGTAGACCAGATTTGTAACAGAATAAACGTGTGGCTTTGCAGGATTGAATTAAATGTGATGTGAAATTCAGAGTAAAATATGCTATTTCCTTCAGTCAGTGGAAAGGGTGGTGTTCAAGAGATGCTGATGCTGAGGATTGGGTTGGATGGGATTGGACTGGCAAGGGGGATGTTTTGTGTGATACTCATGGTTTCCAGGTGTTTGGAGGTTGGCACCAGTTCTGAACTCAGCATTTGTTTTAAGTGCTCAGTCACTGGATTCTGCCCTTCTAAGTAAAATTAACCACTTGTGCTCCATTTTAGAAATTAATTTTTTTTTCCTTGATATTGTGTGTTCATATCACATCATATCACCTGTCAGGAAAACTATGCATTCTTCTTTTTGTGTATCACATTATCTTTCTTCTCCCTCTCCCACAGATGGATAATGATCAGAATTCCAATACCTCAAAGCAGAGATATTCTGGGAAAGTCCATCTTTGCATTGCCCGTTACAGGTAAAGCACCCATCCCGTCACAGGCACACACAGCTGTAATTTTCACCATCAGGTCTGGCCCCACGTCGCCCTGCGCTGAGTGATTGCATGGCAGGGATGTTCTGGAGGCCTGTGCAGCTGGCACTGCTGCAGAGCAGTGCCTGTCCTCTGCCAGCCCAGCTCTCCCAGCCCTGCATTGCTGCCCTCCAGTGCCTCAGTGGGATTAAACGGGAGCCCCTGCTCCAGAGAGGAGCTCTCAGTCTGTTCTTTTCAATCACTCCTCCAAGCAAGAGAGGATTTGAAGTCCATCACTGCTTTGCATGTTAAAATTTCAGGCACGAAGGACTGTCATGATAAAAATTTCACTGGCTAACAGTTTCTTTCAGGATGGATATAGATTTAAGTACTTCATAAGTACTTTTGTCTCTCAGTAGCTTCCCTTAGATGTAGCTCACTGTTTTTGTCTTCTTTTACCTTGCCTCTGTAGAAGTTTCATGAACTTGTATAAAGGGAACATAAAATTGAATACAGTGACTGGAAAACACCCCCATAACCGAGTTTTCCTTAATTCACTCTAAAAAACCAAGAGAATTTTGGGCAGTGTTTTCCAAGAGCCCTCAGTGAGAGGTGTCTCTAAACGCTGCGGGGAAGGACGTGGCTTTGGGGCACAGGGGACCTCAGGGGTACAGGCGGAGTCGGGTGTCTCAGGAGGGATGCAGAGCCGCAGGGAAATTGCCCCGGGTGGAGCTGCAGCCCCTGCTCTGAGCGGCGCTCTGCCTGACCCCACAGCTACAACCCCTTCGATGGACCAAACGAGAACCCCGAGGCGGAGCTGCCTCTCACGGCAGGCAAGTACCTCTATGTGTACGGAGACATGGACGAGGATGGCTTCTACGAAGGTATGTTTTACTCAATGCACCAATTCATGCTAATTCATGCAGATTGAAATCAGCTCGTCTGTCAGAGACGCTCCAAACCCTTTCCTTCGTCTGCTCCTAAATCGGTTGCTAAATTTAGCTTTATCATCGTGGTGTTAATTAAAAGAGTTTCTGCACCAGCAAAGCCGCTCCTTGCAGGCAGAGCTAATTATAAAATATTTTATAGTGTCAGCTTTTCCTACTGGCAAGACTTAAATTGACAAAAAAGCTTACTGGCAGTTCTGGTACTTTCCTTAATAAGCCTTTATGTTCCCAAGCTGGGGATGTTCTTTGCTGCTTTCGCTCATCCCTCGCCCCTTATCTTGTCCACTCTCGAGGCGCTGCCACGGACCAGGTATTCCCCTTCGGGGTTTTAAGGGCTTTGCTCTTTCTCTGCAGGAGAGCTGCTGGATGGCCAGAGAGGACTCGTCCCTTCGAACTTTGTGGATTTTGTTCAGGACAACGAGGCGCGGCTGTCGAGCGCGCTGAGCAGCGAGCAGGACCAGAACTTCCTCAACCGCTCGGGCGCTCCTCTGGCAGGAGAGCTGGAGATCAGCCCCCCGAGCCTCATCGACTCCAGCCTGCTCAGCAACGGCGCAGGGACCCTGGACGTCAACATCGACGAGATTGGAGAAGACATTGTGCCTTACCCCCGAAAAATCACCCTCATCAAACAACTCGCCAAAAGTGTTATTGTGGGCTGGGAGCCGCCGGTGGTGCCGCCCGGCTGGGGAACCGTCAGCAGCTACAACGTCCTGGTGGACAAGGAGGTGAGGATGAACGTAGCCCTGGGCAGCAGGACGAAAGCGCTGATAGAGAAGCTCAACACCTCCACCTGCACGTACCGGATCTCCATCCAGAGCATCACCAGCAAGGGCAACTCCGACGAGCTGCAGTGCACCTTGCTGGTGGGCAAGGACGTCATCGTCGCCCCCTCCAACCTCCGCGTGGACAACATCACCCAGATCTCTGCTGAGCTGTCCTGGCTCCCTACAAACAGCAATTACAGTCACGTCATCTTCCTGAACGAGGAGGAGTTTGACATTGTCAAGGCTGCTAGCTACAAGTACCATTTTTTTAATTTGAAGCCCAATATGGCCTACAAGGTGAAGGTCATGGCAAAGCCCCACCAGATGCCCTGGCAGCTTCCCTTGGAACAACGAGAAAAAAAGGAAGCCTTTGTGGAATTTTCTACATTGCCAGCAGGTTTGATATTTTCCTCCCTACCCCAAAACTCTTCAGATAAATTTCTTTGAAAATACCAGAGAAAATACTTTAACCCGCACAGCATTTAGGGGATGTAAGTGTATTTTGGTTGTGACGGTGCAATCATCATTGTACAATTTGTATTTGTAAAGTCAACAGATTCGTTGTGTTTTGGGAAGTCTGAGGTTTTTTCCCACCTGGATTTTGCATTAGGAGTGCTGGTAAGTGTTGTCAGCCCTTTGCCATGATTCAGGAACATCGAAGCAGTGTTGAAAACCAGAGTAGAAGTAAGGCAGTGAATTGGCCAAGCACTTGCCATGCTGTGTCCCCCTCTAGCTGCGAAGTCTGCTGAGCCATGCAGAGCTGCTCTCTGCTGAGGAGCAGGGGAGCCTCAGCTGCTGGAGCCAGAGCTCCCAGAATCTTCCCCACTGCTTCATTCCACTGGGAGCACTTCCAGAGACACAAGCCAACTTTTCACTGCTGTGCAGAGAAAACAAAATAGCAGCTGTTGTGGTTAGAGGCTGATGCCTGATTTCAGAGTAATTGGAGCAAAGCAAAAGGATGAATTCGGAGTCACTGATGGGAGTTACCATCATAGAGTGTCATGCAATTGAACTCATCTTGATTCATCAAAGCAATGGAATTGCTCACATAAAAATACAAATATTTCTGTCTTGGGCACTCAGATCTAAAAACAGAAATAAGTACAGGATCAGGACCAATGGGGCTGCTGCAGTTTTTGGAGCTAATTTATGTAAAAAAACCCATGAGCAGCAAAGTGCAACAGAATTCCAAAACAAACATTTATGTTGATGACCAAGACCATTGAAACTCATCAGGAATAATTTCCCATTTGATGATGGGAGGAAAGAGGAGCTGTGCTGAGCCCCGGGCGCTGCAGTCTGTTACACCTATCTCTGCACAGCCTGTGAAGGTCAGCACAGGCACCCTGGGGATTGCTTCGTTGTGGGAGAATGCAAGGAAGGTGACTTCTCCTGCAGGAGCAGATTAATGTCATTGTCAGTGGCGAGATGCTGGGTTAGATCAGATTCATCCTTCCTCGTAAACTGAGCAGCCCTGCTGAATTGGGAGTGCTGGCTGTCAATAAAATAGGATGACCAGGAAAGCTGAAATTCAATCCTGAACCAAAATCTCTCCTGGACAAGAATAGCATTAGGTCAATTTGCATACTCTCCACTTGCAAGATAAAAATACTTTATAGGTGCAGGGATGATATGAGCAAAACCTTCCTGTTGTGCCTGTACTGTCCTGAACATGACCAGCATTTCATTTCCATGTCCACTAGAGGACAAAATTCAGTGGCAGGAAACCAGTGAAATGCACTGGCAGTTTGCCAGTGGTCTGGCGTGACATTTGCACACGTATCAAGCACAGCTGACGTGTTTGCAGCCTTTTTGGTAGATGAGGAGGATCTGGCTGTGTTTAGTTCGCTGGGAGAAGCAATCCCACAGCAGCCAGGTCTGTGTTCTGCTCTGCAGAGATGGCTGCAGCCCAGCCCTGCTCAGGGCTTGCTGGTTAAATTAACACAACAGGATGCTTGAAAAATGTATGAACTAATAATCTCAGTGATATTTTTACTTCGGCTTTCTGGCCAAAGTAGAGCTATTTATAGCAGGGTAATGCCTGTTAATTAAGGAGGTATGTGGTGTGCTGTCACACTAACACACTGTAAATGCCTTAGGAGGTTACTGGGTGTGTTTTTTGATTCAGTGCAGAGGAAGGACCAGCTGAATAAAGCTGGGTAATGAAACAGGCAAAAACTTCTTGAAAAAATAGAGCTGTGCTTCACTCAGCTGGTGGCAAAGGCCGCGGCTCCAGCTGGCAGCCCACGCTGCAGCTCGGCTGCGGAGTGACCGCTCCGTCTCGCCCAGGTCCTCCAGCCCCACCTCAGGACGTGTCTGTGCGGGCAGGGCCCACGCCGGGGACCGCGCAGGTGGCCTGGAAGCCCCCGGCTCTGTCGGCGACGGGGACGTCGCACGGTGCCAGCGTCACGGGTTACGGTGTCTATGCCAAAGGGCAGCGGGTGAGTCCCCGGCTGTCACCCTGCCCTGGCACGGCCCCGCAGGGCTCCTTAGCTGCAGGAGCCCGTCCTGTGTTCGGGGGTAACTGCTCCTTTCCGGGAGCGCTTCTGCCAGCGGGCTGGGGGTGAAGGGCAGCAGCTGGGAGGGCACCAGCCCTGCGGGGAGTCCACGCTGGGCGGCAGCCGCTCGCTCTGAGGAGCCCGAGGGTGTGCCCAGGGGGCTGAGGGTGTGCCCAGAGGGCTGAGAGTGTGCCCAGGGGGCTCAGGGTGTGCCCAGAGGGCTGAGAGTGTGCCCAGGGGGCTGAGGGTGTGCCCAGGGGCTCAGGGTGTGCCCAGGGGGCTGAGGGTGTGCCCAGAGGGCTGAGAGTGTGCCCAGGGGGCTGAGGGTGTGCCCAGGGGGCTGAGGGTGTGCCCAGAGGGCTGAGAGTGTGCCCAGGGGACTCAGGGTGTGCCCAGGGGACTCAGGGTGTCCCCAGGGGCTCAGGGTGTGCCCAGGGGGCTGAGGGTGTGCCCAGAGGGCTGAGAGTGTGCCCAGGGGACTCAGGGTGTGCCCAGGGGCTCAGGGTGTGCCCAGCAGGCTCAGGGTGTGCCCAGGGGACTCAGGGTGTGCCCAGCAGGCTCAGGGTGTGCCCAGCAGGCTCAAGGTGTGCCCAGCAGGCTCAGGGTGTGCCCAGGGGACTCAGGGTGTGCCCAGCAGGCTCAGGGTGTGCCCAGGGGACTCAGGGTGTGCCCAGGGGACTCAGGGTGTCCCCAGCAGGCTCAGGGTGTCCCCAGCAGGCTCAGGGTGTGCCCAGGGGGCTCAGGGTGTGCCCAGCAGGCTCAGGGTGTGTCCCAGGGGGCTCAGGGTGTCCCCAGGGGCTCAGGGTGTGCCCAGGGGCTCAGCGTGTCCCCAGCAGGCTCAGGGTGTGCCCAGGGGGCTCAGGGTGTGTCCCAGGGGCTCAGGATGTCCCCAGCAGGCTCAGGGTGTCCCCAGGGGCTCAGGGTGTCCCCAGCAGGCTCAGGGTGTCCCCAGCAGGCTCAGGGTGTGCCCAGCAGGCTCAGGGTGTCCCCAGGGGCTCAGGGTGTCCCCAGCAGGCTCAGGGTGTCCCCAGGGACTCAGGGGGTGTCCCCAGCAGGCTCGGGGTGTCCCCGGGGGCTCAGGGTGTCCCAGGGGCTCAGGGTGTCCCCAGCAGGCTCGGGGTGTCCCCGGGGGCTCAGGGTGTCCCAGGGGCTCAGGGTGTCCCCAGCAGGCTCGGGGTGTCCCCAGCAGGCTCAGGGTGTCCCCAGGGTCTCGGGGTGACCCCAGCGGGCTGAGGGCAGGCTGGCGGGCGGCCGGGCGCTCACAGGTGGCTCTGTGCCCGCAGGTGGCCGAGGTGACGTTCCCAGCAGCCGAGGGCACGGCGCTGGAGCTGCTCCGGCTGCGTGCCCTGGACGCCCGGGAGGTGACGGTGCGGACGCTCTCAGCACAGGGCGAGTCCGTGGACTCTCCTCCTGCTGCCATTCCAGCTGACCTCCTGGTGCCTCCAACCCCTCACCCCAGAACCGCTCCCAAATCGAAGCCATCAGCAAGTGCCGGAGCCCCAGAAACCAAAGACGAGCAGCTCGGGCCCCGCGGCAGGAGGGACGAGGCGTGGGAGCCGCCGTCCCCCGCGCGCGGAGCCACGCTGGAGCCGCCCGGCCCGCCCGGCCCGGCCGCCGGCCGCAGGTCCCCGTCCCCCAACAGGATCCTGCCCCAGCCCCAGGGCGCTCCGGTCCCCAGCACCGTCGCAAAAGCCATGGCAAGAGAGGCTGCACAGAGGGTGGCAGAGAGCCACAGGGTAAGGAGGGCTCCTTCCCAGGGCTTCTCTGGGCTGGGCTGGGCTGGCCGCCGCGCTTGCCATCAAGGATTGCTCGTGGTGTGCTTCGGGGAGCGGGTGACCATTCCTAAGCTCTGCAGGCCCACAGCTTGAGAAGCAGAGTTCTGGAATTACGGGCTGATAAAGCCCTCCTGTGTCCGCTGTCATGGATCCACAGGGAATTTTACACATTTCTCCTTCTCAGTGCTGCCTTTTCATGCACGTGTGCAGATGCTTTCCGCTCCAGCTCCTCCGGGAGCTGCCAGCAGTCGCTGCCCAAGGCCACCCCAGGTTTGGGACCACCATGACCCACGGCTGCTGCGCTGATTCATGTCTTTGCCAGCTGATTTATATCCCACATTTGGGGCTCTGGGGTCAGTGCAGCTGATGTGGATGCATCCTGACAATGTGCTGTGGGTTTTCCACACAAATATGCAATATTTAAATACTCCCAGTGCCCTGGGCAGTTACTTTCTCATCACAAGCTGCTCACAACTGCCTGTTACTTCTCACAAGATGAGGTGTCACTTACTCCATGGATTTTCTTGGTGCTTCATCTGGCAGTCATCAGTTATGTCCAGTTTTTAGTCTCCCGTTGTATCTCTAAAATAACTGCATTAATTTTGACAGTCCACACATGCCTTAACAGCCCCAGCTTATTGACTGTTCCTGTTTTGGATGCATTTGATACAGTCAGTAAATCAAGGCAGCTTTTGAGAACCTGAATAACTCTGGATCAATAAGGTCTGATAAATATATATATATGCATCTGTAGCTGTCTTCCTTTTGTTTAAAAATAAGACTGGAATGTAATAGAGGGAGAAAAGGCAATTGGTTTCTTTGGCCCTGTGAGGTGAAAGCTGATTTAAGAACCACAGAGGGAAAGACAACAGAAATACTTTTTCTGGTTTGGAAAATTGCTGACATAACATGTGCTCTGAACCACGTTTGATTACATTAGCTTAAGTGATGCTTGAAATGTTTTATTCAGGAAGCTGGACAGAAGTTTGTAGACGAAGTAATTCTAAATTAAATCAAATCCTGCCAGGGATATTTGTCAGGTTTAGTCCCCTGTGGTGTGAATTCTTCACTCGTGGCAAGTGCTGCAGAAGGAGCTGTGTGCCTGCCCCTGGCTCTTGGTGGCTGCTGGGCACTGTCACCAGAGCCAGCAGGAACTGCTGAGGCTCCTCAGAGCAGGAGCCCAGAGCTCATTCTGGGGCTTTTTGTGTGTTGAGGTCACAAATGCTGTTGTGGCTTGATCATGCACTGCCTCTGCCAAGGGGAAAGGAGTGTCTTTGCTGGCAGCCTCTGAGAATTTTGGTAAGTGCTACAGGGAGGAGAACTGGCAGCTCATCTGATAAGCACATAGCATCAGGTAATTGTTTAACACTGAGGGCAATAAAACAGGCAAAACTTCTTGAAAAACTCCTCACATGTTCCAGCCAGGAGGAACTAACAGTGCTCTAAGCCATGAGTGCTTTTAAATGTTGTGTGCTTGAGTCTTTGTATTTGCATTTGTGTCCCTGGTGCAGGGCAGCATCCCTCACAGCTCTGGGTTTTGCTGCTCTGTTAGATGGAGAGGAGGAGCGTTTATATTTGTATTTGCGTCCCTGGTGCAGGGCAGCGTCCCTCACAGCCCTGGCTTTGTGTCCCCAGGTGGAGAGGAGGAGTGTTTTCAGCGAGAGGAGCAGCGCGGCCCCGTACTCGGACGAGGAGGAGGATGGCTACGACTCCCCCCGGGTGAAGCGCAGGGGAGCCTCGGTTGATGATTTCCTGAAGGAGTCAGAGCTGGGAAAGCAGGTGAGCAGCCTGGCTCGGGTGCTGTACCCCGTGTCAGCAGGAGCCGGGTGCTTGCTGCAGCCCAGCTCTGCCAGGCACGCCGAGGGCTCTGGCTGTGCCGGTGACACCGGTGACACAGGCTGTGACACAGGGTGTGACACAGGGTGTGACACAGGCTATGACACAGGTGACACAGAGTGTGACACAGGCTATGACACCAGTGACACAGGCTGTGACACAGGTGAGGCTGAGCTGTGGCAGGGATGCTCCTGTTCCTGCTTGGCACAGGGATCTCCCTCCTCCCTTCCAGCAGCCCCAGGCATGGAAAGTGAAAGATGAAGATGGCAAAGAACACAGAAAATGTGACTGGGCTGTCCTGTTTGGGCTCTGTCCTTTCTGTGAGGTGTCACTGCTGCAAATGACAGCCTGCTCATGAGTGGGAGGGAAAGGTCCTGTGTGCCACCAGGGCATCACCTGTGACCCAGCAGCCTGATGACAGCAACAAGCAGGAGGTAGCATTGGCTCCAAGGAATGGAAAGGTGCTGGCAGCTTTTAGTCCAATCCCACTGAAAACAAATATTAAATAATTTATTTCAAGAGAGATGTAAATTCTAGAAAAGAGATGGGGTTTTTATGTCTTGGGGTGGTTTAAAAAATTTTAGTCAAAGACTCGACTTCCTGTGTTGAAGGTCCACAATGGTGGAAGAATTAAATGCTGATCACTTTTAAATTATAATGCGATGTAACAAACAGCTGCAAAGAACAGATGATATGTGAATTATCCTAAGGCTTTTGCAATTTGATCAGCAAGCCCATTGATGCATGAAGGACCCCTTTAATAAGAGGAATCTAATCAAGACTAAAACTAGATCTGGTGCTGTGAAAGGAGATATTCTTTATTCCATCACCTGGGATTGAGACTGGATCTCTTGAATTACGATCAGAAATGGGCAAGCAGTGTTCGCAGGGGGCAGGAGCAGCAGGGTAGAGCCCAGCCCGGGAGGGCAGAGCCCAGCCCGTGGTGTTCCTCCCCATGGTGTTCCTCTCCGTGATGTTCCTCCCCATGGTGTTCCTCCCCGTGATGTCCCAGCCCGTGATGTTCCTCCCCGTGATGTCCCAGCCCGTGATGTTCCTCCCCATGATGTTCCTCCCCATGCTGTCCCTCCCCGTGCTGTCCCTCCCCGTGCTGTGCCTCCCCTGGCGCAGGCAGCATTGGCAGCCTGAGCTCTCTGCTGCCCTTGCAGGCTCACTGCTGCCTGGGGGACGAGTACCACACCGAGAGCAGCCGCGGCTCCGACCTGTCCGACATCCTGGAGGAGGATGAGGAGGAGCTCTACTCGGAGATGCAGCTGGAGGAGGGCGGCCGGCGGCGCCTGAGCCTCACCTCGCACGGCGCGCTCAAGGTGAGGGCTCGGGCACCCCTGGGTGCTCCCCGGGCTCCCTTCGGCCGCTCCCGAGCTGCAGGCGTGCAGCCTCTGTGCCGGGGAGCTGCAGCTGGGCAGCGTTAATGCACCTGGAACCTGCTTGGCTCTCACTGACAGGCCAACTTGAACCAACAGACGACTTTCCTACGTGTGATTGCTCCTGTTCTGCGTCTGGGGACCCTCCTTGTCTCTGTGAAGATACACTGCATGTGCTACCCCAAAAAATGAGTTCTTTCTGAGCAAGATTTGTAAAAACTTATAAAACAACTTATGTTTTTCCTGTCTGAGTGATTTGTCCATGTACCCAGTGCTAGTCCCATCCCTTCCACAGGCTTAAAGCGTTCCTGTAAGAAAGGGAGTTGTTTCTGCTTTGTCAGAACTCCCTGTGCTCTGAATTTTAGGGAATTGCCAGAGAGAATAGGAAATATGTTCCAGAAATATTGCTTTAATACAGGAATATTCATCAAGAAAGAAAGAAAATTCAGTGCAACAACTAAAGCATATGCAGGACACTAAACACACCCAGTACTGGATATATATTTGCCATATGATATTTGTACATGCAAATTGTACTTGCTTCTTTATGTGTGCAGTAATTACTGTGTTTTCTTAGAAAGCGCAATCCCACAGATTAACTTTTTCTTCAGTAGATTGTTACTCAACTAAAATCAGTACTATTTTGTCATGCATACAAGAATTCTGAGCATTCTTATGACTGCTTTCATGTGCTGTAAATTCAGTCCTTTTATTCTGATACTCTCTGCAGTGAGACAGGTACTTTTTCAAAAAAGGAATTGGCAGTGTTTGTATTACTGCACCAACATGAAGGTTGAAACCAAAATCCTTCTGCGAGCTCATTGTACCCACTTCCCCTGGAAAAAAGAACAATCCCCAGACATCTTGTTCTTTATGCATCAGAAGGTGTATTTACTTCTTGGATCTAAATTAGTATTACCCGTGTTGATATTGAGAAACTTCTAGAACCTTAACTGGTGTAGGAAATAGTTTTTGACCTGTTAAGGTTTGCAGGCTTCTCTTGATGTAGTTCATGCTTATTGATATTTTTTCCATTTCTGTGGTGCTTTCTCTCAAGTTTCACAGGTGTTACACACATTTTAAAAACAAAGGAAAATAGGTGAAACAGTCTAAAGTAATTTAGGAGGTTTCCTCTGCCTGGAAGGGGACAATGCCCAAACAGCAGCTAAGTTTAGCATGCTCAGAGGGAGGTGCTGCTATCTCCAGGAGGATCTGATGCTATTTTGGGTTGTTGAGCCCAGACGTGCCCCTGATCTGGCATTAGGCACAAGGAGACATGATCTCTGATGCAGAATCAGTAATCCTGGAGTCAGAGCCAGCATCTCCAGCCCTGTGCTCCCTTCCCTCTTCCAGAGCCCAGCCAAGGCACTCCCAGGGCTCTTTGGCAGAGCAGCCTGTGGTTTGTGGAAATGGAATAGAAAAATTGTAAATGTATCTGGCATATCCAGAATGCTTGTTTTACCCAGGCTGGGGTAGCTTTTACCTGCTTCTGGCACAAACAGAGACTTACTTCTGCTCACGGGTTGATTTTCAAGCACTGGTTTTATAAAGCAGGTCCAAGATCATGATGAGAGATTTGATGGCAGTGCAGACCAAGTGACATCAGAGAGCAGCCTGTGTCCCAGGGGGCTTTCCCTGGAAGCCAAGCTTTAAAAATGTGCAGGTTTTTTAGAATTTTGGAAAGGAAACCAGAACTCCTTTAATGATGGCTGTGGAATGGCTCTCCTCTGACAGGAGACTGAAGGTATTTACTACTTACATAGGAAGCTTTAAGAGATGCAAAGCAAGCAAGCTTGCTAGGGCAGAGCCGTCATTCTCAGCTATGGGTTCTGGTGACAAAGAAAATCAGATGGCAGTTTGGCACGGGGCAAGGAAGGGGTTTTAATGCCATTCTCACCCACCATGCTGGAACCTGCTTGTGGCTTTCATTACTCCGTTTCAAATGCATGAGTTTATTCTTGTTAAGAGCATCACTCAGTTGTTTGTACTGACCTCTCATGTTGTACCTGGCACCCAGCAACTTCTTAATCACACCTTTATTTTTCACAGATCCTCATTCAAAGCACGACATCCTTTTCATAATATAAGCTGCATGTCTTACGTTGCCATTGCTCTAAAACTAATTCTGTCTTTATTTTTCTTTTCTCCCTTTTCCCTCCCATTTTATTTTTGTCACACACTCTTTGTTCCCTTTCTGGTTTTTAACATTACATACTCTTAAGGAGTACGATAAGAATAAGACCACTGAAGCCACTTTTTTGGAACAGCCTGGCTTTCCCCAGCAGACACGCCACAGTAAAAGGCTTTTCAGTATTCCAGAAGTGGCTGAAGAGGACGGTGAATACTCTGAACTGCTGTACAAGCAGGGTGTAGGTATGGCCCACAGAAAGAACCCCCGGGTAGCTAGAGGCCCTAGAGCTCGCAGGCCCCGCGGTCAAGAGCAGCAGCACAGCCCCTGGTGCCCGGCCAAGCGGGCAGTGCCAGGGCTGGAGGAGCCGGCCCCGGAGCAGCGAGGATGCGCAGCCCGGCAGTGCCGGTCCCGCAGCCCCGACAGCGGGCTGGACTGCGGCAGCGAGGACGAGGAGCCCCGGCTCGGGGTCACGGCCCCGGCGGGCAGCGAGGAAGAGGAGCCCTGGCACAAGGTCAGGCACAGGAGGGGCAGCGAGGAAGAGGAGCCCTGGCACAAGGTCAGACACAGGAGGGGCGGCGAGGAAGAGGAGCCCTGGCACAAGGTCAGACACAGGAGGGGCGGCGAGGAAGAGGAGCCCTGGCACAAGGTCAGGCACAGGAGGGGCAGCGAGGAAGAGGAGCCCTGGCACCAGTTCAGACACAGGAGGGGCGGCGAGGAAGAGTGGTCCCGGCTCGGTGTCAGACCCCAGTGGGTCGGTGATGAAGAGCGCTCCCAGCTCGGTGTCAGATCCCAAAGGGGCAGTGAGGAAGAGCGCTCCCGGCACAGTTTCAGACACAGGAGGGGCAGTGAGGAAGAGGAGCCCCGGCTCGGTGTCAGAGCCCAAAGGGGCAGCGATGAAGAGTTTCAGCACAGTTTCAGACACAGTTTCAGGAGTGGCAGTGAGGAAGAGGAGCCCTGGCACAGTTTCAGACACAGGAGTGGCAGTGAGGAAGAGGAGCCCCGGCTTGGTGTTAGAGCCCAAAGGGGCAGCGATGAAGAGTTTCAGCACAGTTTCAGACACAGTTTCAGGAGTGGCAGTGAGGAAGAGGAGCCCTGGCACAGCACCAGATCCCAACGGGGCAGTGATGAAGAGCGCTCCCAGCTTGGTATCAGACCCCAAAGAAGCAGTGAGGAAGAGGAGCCCCGGTTTGGTGTCAGACCCCAGCAGGGTGGTGATAAAGAGCGG